AGAATTTAATGTTTCTTCATATTCTTCCATCTTTTCCGGCCCTAATTTGATGAAATGATCATTCAATGAGGCCTTTTAGGCTGTTTTTGTGGGTTGATTTTTTTGTTTGATCTGTTTTGCCCCTAATTTCGTCACTTCTAACAACCAAAATTGTCGGAAGTCCTTAAAGTAAGTATTTTTTTAATTTAATGGCTTATTTGTGACAATTTATAGTTGAAGGGTCAAAAGCGTGCAAATGCGATAGTTTAGAGGATGTCTGAGAAGTTTCCTCAGTTTAGAGGATGTCTGAGAAGTTTCCTCCATTAAAGAAGTTCTACAGTATTTTTTTCACAAAATTATCTCCAATAATCTCCTATCCAATCACACTCTATGTTTAATTGGGCTATGTAGAATGCAGGGCTAAATATAAGGCTCGAATTAAATGTAAACTACACATAAATTTTATTAGGCTCGGCCAGATTAAAGTCCTGCACAAATAATTATAAATAACGTTTATTATATATATATAATATAGAAATATTAAGAATGATTGTTTTATGGATTTTTCTAATAGCTATCCGCTTGTTAAGACACTTAAATCATACCTAAATTACCATGTAAGTACACATACTAATATTTATTGCACCACATGAATTTTAATACTTTACCGAATGAACTACACCTTTTAAAAAAATTAACACTCGAGGCCCTTTTAGCGAGTGCTCAATGAGTATCGGTTTGCCAAACTGTTGTTTTATGAACTAAGATATATATATATATATATATATATATATATGTATATATTTATAAAATAGATATATTAAGAATGATTGTTTTATGGATTTTTCTAATAGCTGCCCACTTTTTTAAGACACTTAAATCATAACTAAATTACCATTTAAATACATATACTGAAATTTATTGCACCGCATGAATTTTAATACTTTTCCGAATGAACTATATTTTTTTAAAAAAATTAACACTTGAGACCCTTTCAGCGAGTACTCAATGAGCATCACTTTGCCAAGCTGTTGTTTTATGCACATTTAGTTCATTGACTGTTAACAAAATTGTGACACCTCATCAATGAACGTATAGTTCACCGGTTAACACCCTTCATTCAAATCACAAATACCCATCCTGTATATGACACTCTTCCAGTTACCTACTTTCTTCCTATACCTTCATATTCACAAAAAGTTATCGTTTGCAATGACCTACATGCTACGTACGCTATACTGCCCAGTCCACCATTTTTCCCTACAATTTATATTCCATTCATCTTCATCACAACTACATAGCACTGCAAAACAAGATTAGTTCTTTATTATTCTTCCTCAAAAAACATATTATTTTTATTTGTAACTTTGGTGAATTTATGTCTTTATTTGCAAGTTTGGTAATGTTAAATATAAACCATAGCCTTGTTACAAATTCAAGCAGCAAATCATGGAAGTTAGAAAAACCTATGATCTTCCAGCCTACTGATTTCTTCTCTTTTTTTTTCCGAAATTTGGATGAAACCCCTTATAATGACTTCCCAAACTTCGGACAAATCCCCTCATAGTGAGACTTGATTAATGCATCTTAATTGGAAAAATCCAATCAAGATACTTCACTTCTTGGTCTTGAAATGTTGTATGTACAAATCCCCTCATAGTGGGACTGTCTAAGAATAAAAGAGAAACTTAAAATTAAGATTCAAACGCACAAGTACTTTTTCTTTGGAGCCACTGAGCCATACTTTTTCTTTGGAACCACTGGGCCAATGGCTCAGTGGCCACCAGGGACGGACTTAGTCCCTCCTTGGGCTGTTGGTGAGAGTTCAAACCTCACAAGTAGCGAAAAAAATTTAAAGATTGTGTCATAACATTCCATTGGTCTAATTGAATCTGTATACCCACTAACTCCTACAACAGCTTCTTTAGGCTCCCCTCCCCCTAGATTAGGATAGAGTAGGTTATACAAATATATCGTTGCTGATAAAAAAAAATACTTTTTCTTTGATTTTTTTTCGTCTTTCTGATGAAACACATAAACATGTACATAAGGGGTAAATTATGTCCAATCACCCTGCACAACTAAAATTCAGGTAAGGAGAGATTTTTCAAGTTTGTCTTTAATTACTTACTTTATTTTAATAAGGAGTCACCCCTCGACCAAAAAATAAAAAATAAACAATGCTTTAACTAAGTCAAAAGATGTCATGCATCTCAATTAGAAAATAGTAGTACTTTAAAAGAAAAATCTTACCAAAGAAGAGGAAATGTGGGATTTGAAAAGCAATGAGGAGAAAAAAGAGGGATAAAATGAGGGAGAAAAAGAGCAATGGGGTTTTTCATTAGCTAGAGTAGATGATAAAATTCTACTTTTACTCTATGCATTTACACTTGCTAACATCTTGACCAAAAAAGAAAACAAATTTAAACTTGCTAACATGACAAAAAAGAGAAATTTTTTACACTGACAAAGTAAAGTTACAAACCATTCCTTAGAAAAAAACAAAGATACAAACAATTCATTTTCTGCAACAGCTTAACAACCACTCCAATTTGCTCAATTGTTAGACACACTTAAAAGTTTATCTTAATTTCTCACAATCTAGAATACTTTTAACAGGCTGGGGATGTTTAAACATAGTATTCACTGCTGTCAAATGAGAGTTCTACTGCGCCTGGATCCGAGTACACAAGCGCCGAGAGAAATTTTTGTTTATGAATAACACAAGAAATTGTTAAGGGCAGAACGAACTGAACAGGGTTTCCTGCAAATTTGATCTTGGCTGCAAATTAAATTCCAGGTACAAGCTTCTGTTGTTAAACTGGTATGCTTGAGCTAGAAGAGTCTAGTTGTCTGGACCAGGCAATGAATCAAAACAGAGAAATAAAAAGCAGAAAGAGTACTAGAAAATTGTAAATTTGCTATGCTACTGATGTTGTTTCTCTCTATATTAGAGTTCCCAATGGCTTTCTCATATTTTAACTACAAGGAATTCAACTTAATTTCAAGATTTTGTTTTTTTTTTGCCAAGTTGATAAAGATTTAAATTTCTTTGCCATCTCAATTCAAAATCAAAACCATTCTTTCTGCTTTTCAATTTTGATGAATTTGATTGTAATAGATTTCCTGTTCCATGTCTTTCCTAGCAATATGGATAAACCACAAAATACATCATCACATCACCTAAGGGGTACAGCAACAAAGTTAATGAATCTCAATCAATCTTGTAACATAGTAAAAAGCAACTCAAGCTCAAGGATTGAGGGTAGTTGTAACAAATTGAAAGATGAAAAGAAACCACAAGAATTACCCAAACTCCCTTTACATGTATCAAAACCACCTACCACAACTAAACAAAACTCAACTGGTAAATTAACCCAAAAAATTGTCAGAAGCAGAAAAAGAAAACGTAAACAATTTTTTGGCTGAGACAGAACAAAATCCCTGAAATCATTTCTTCCTAATGTGCTTGAGCTTGTACCATCCCTTCTTGCATGAATCTCCAACAATCTTCACCCCTTTCTTGAAAAAGATCTTCAATTCCTTGGCCCTTTCCTTCACTTTCTGCTCAAAGCTCCCCATTTCTTGAAAAGCAAGAGCAGGGAAGAGAAACAGAGGCAGGCAAAAGAGTTTCTAGATTGAGCAGGTGGGCTTCTGAAAAATATGTGAACAGCCGCTGGAGAGTGGTTTAATCTGAGGTGTTATTTAAGGTAGGAGGATTGGAGGGATCGTGGGATCCAACTCATTAGAGCAGACGTGGCAATGATCAAGAGCAATTCTGCTTTCATCGATCTGAATAGCTACCATTGATCGCGGGGATAAGGCTTTGAAAGACGTGTAATGGTGGTATTTTATTTTTTATTGGTTGTGAGGTGTGTCTAAGCAGGGACAAATGGTCCTTTACAAGCTAGCAATTTGTGGACTTCAACTAAATCTGGTAATTTCCAGTTGGGTAGAATGTAGCCGTTGGTTTGGACAGTGGGACAAAGCTTGATGATTTCTTGGGACCACGACAGGGCAATGTAACAGTAACATACTGATATATAAACGTTGTATATTTTTTTCCCCCAATTTTTGATTCTTTCTATTTCTATTTATGGGTATAAACGAATTTAATCAAGTCGATACTCTAATTTTTAAATTTGTTTGATTATTTTAGGTAAAATTGAAATTTTGTTCAAATTTGACCTTTTTATTCCAAAGAAATTTGGCTTGGTTATATGATGAACCAAATTGGAATGAGTTTTTTTTTTATTGATTTTGAAAGTTATCGAACATAAAATTCTGTTCAAACTTGATTTAACTAATTAGCGAATCAAGTACAAATTTCTTATAAAATCGAACTCAATTCGAGTATTTAGTGGTTTGGTATATCTTTCAGCATCTTTGCATCACCATTGTTTGAATGTAGCGCACAATGTAAATTCATGAACAGTGGGAATGTAAAACTTGAGTTTTGTGGCACTAATAATTTATGGAAAATTCTATTTTTTTTTTCAAAACACTACCAAATAGAATGAAAGCTAAGAAATAAATACCCAAAAAATAAAAAAAAATTACTACCACTATATAAATGCTTGATGATTGGCGGCATTGTAATAAGAACATACAAGTGACATGCTAGACTAATAGTGATATTTTAGGGTACCTCCATTCAAGTCAATCCCTCTCTCTATCCAACCATCTTGTCTTCTTGTCTTTGTTTTATACACCTATGTTTCTACATTTGGATTTATAACATCAATTGGGTATGCTGTTTTGATGTTTAGATAAACAATAACAATAAAATTCATCGACCAATTCAAACTATGAAACTTTTATTTGGAAATTTTCCTTCTTGAATTGTGAATGAGTGAAGTAAAAATGATTCGATTTGCCTACACTAAGTTAACCATTCTCCTAAATGAGTTTTAGGGATGTAGTGGACTTGAAAGTTTCTCAATGTCCTACGAGTCTTTAAACACCTGCATGTTTGATAGTAGTATAACTATTTGTCAAGAAAAGAAGTAACACAAACAAGCAAATGCAACTTTAATTGCTTTCATTGCTCAAGATGGTAGGTTTCCCTCTATAGCTTTCACATTTTAGCCAAAGCTATTGAATGATTCCTCCATTTTTCTTGCATAACACATCAACAAGAATGTGACTTGCTCCTGAAAATAGAAGCCTCTAAGCCTATTATTGTCTTCCAGATTTTGTATTCTAACTCAGAAGGTAAAGCAATAGCTTGTGCTTTCTTCAAGCAAAGAAACTCAAAAACAGAGAAAAGCCAAAAACTTTATAGTCTTAAGAAACCAAAAGGAATCTCCACCATGTTACTTTCAGTTTGAAATCATTTGAATGATTTGAATTAGCCGACTACCTGCTTGGTTATGCTTTGATCATGCACCATCTTCCATGTGTTTTTGAGTCAATAAACTTAGTTTATACTCCAAGAGTATCCATGTGGATTCTATCAAAATGAAAAGGAGAACAGCAGATACCAGGTGGCCAAGCAGCAATCCTCCAACCAATTACCTGCTGTAAACCACTATCAAATCATTTGTATTCAAACCTAATCACATTCACACCTTCTTTTGAACTTCTTGTTCTTGCACACTTTTTGAAAACTTATTAGGCTAGATGGGAAAAAAAATAGGCACAGATTACAGTAGATGAAATATATAATAGGGATGTACCAGAAGCTGCAAAGGGCTCTGAAATGTTATGGACTAGCTAAACATGGTTGCCTTATCCAATTTGTATGAAGGAAGGGGTCCAAAATTGTACTGGCTCAAGTGGGCCTTTTCTCTTCAGGTGTAATTTTCAGGTATCACATGTCCTGGAGAATGTGAATATGGATTGCAGAACCACTGACAATGATTGGCATGAATAGATTGACCTACCAAGCAAACTTTGCAGATTGACGTTCGAGTCCCTTAAGAACTGGATAAATTGGAAAAACACTCAAAAAGAAGATCAAAGACACTGAAAGTTAGAAATTTCTTTACTCGTGCTCTATAACACTGTTAATTTCCAAATTGATTACGAGGAGATGTCAATTATTGTTACATATCATCTTCTTTAGTCAGTTAACCTTTATCAGGATCTGTAGCAACATTTTACCTGAAGGGTTAGAGATTATTCAATGAAAAAATCTCAATTTGCTTTTCCCTCCTAGAACTGTATGTTAATTGATTATGCAATGCTCCATAAAAAGCGAGCTCCTGAGACAACCCTTTTTTTTTTCCCCAGCAAAAGGGCATATTGAGTATGAGATGTCTTTCCCACTAAAAATCAGCAGCATCCATAGTGGACAGGAGATGTCTATTCTGCGGCCCGAGGCTTCTCTGTAAAGCTGAGAGGACAAGCAATAATTAGTTGTCATTGTAAACGGAATCCATAAAAGGTAGATAATTTGTCCAAATAAGTAGAAGGAACGCGCAGAATCAGCATCAATATTCAAGAAATATAGGTTATGTAGAGGATGAAGGCATTGTACAACGAGTGTACGAGGACAGATGAACTAAGGTTCCCAGACCAACAATAAGAGCATCCAAGGACACAGCCAATAACGAATAACTGCAGGAAATTCTCAGCAGAGAAGTGAGATGCACTGAAAAGCAAAGAACTCAGCAGAACGGCTTGCTGCCACTTCATAGTGCAGGAAAGAGAAGTCAGCAAATACCCTCTGTAGACAATCTCTTCCAGGAAGGGAGTGACAATGCAGTAGACAAGAATGCAAGCTGTAACAGAGATTGAGCCGCTTGAGAGGAGTGCTTGCAGTATTGGATTGTTTACCTCCTATCCACATGGAGAGAAACTATCATCCATTACGAACATGGCATCATGAAGAAACACTATTATAACTTTTAATCCAATGCTAAACTTGTTCACCAGTCCTAGATGGTTGAAATAACTGACAGAAGTTGAGCTTGGCTTAGAGAACAGTTGTTGTTAGTACTAACAGCACCTTAACATAAAGGTAGCACAATATAAACCAAAAAAGGGAAAAAAAAATTACAGGTAATGCAACATCTCCTCTTATAATGATCTGTAATAAGCGATCCCTTATAGTCCTAATAAAGCACCATGAGAGCTGGCAAAAGAGAGATACTTCAATCTTTGCACGGGAGCAAGTCGCTATGCTTTATGCTGGTAACTGAAGGCACACGGGTATTCCATTTCCATGCACAAGCCTCCCATTCAGTTGGCTTACAATTTAGATTACAGCTATGTGCTTTTGCAAAGCATTCAATTTATTAGGAGAAAATCAGAATTCAATAATTCAACATTGCCAGCCCCTCTAATTTCCTGATATGTTTCCTTCTTCCAGCACTTAATGCCCAAAACCTGATGTAGCTATCCTCTACTCTGTCAATATGCACCTGCTATTTTGTATTGGCTTCCTTGCTCCTTTTTCCTTCTTTTGTCATATCCTCATACCTAAAGAACCAATGTATTTATAATGTCATTGATTATTCTAGATATTCATCACCATTTGCAAATTCTTTATGTAAGTCAAGAGGAGTTATGGAACGTTTGCAATCCTAACCAGAAAACAAATTTGGTATGTGCACAGAAACAAACTGAGCATAACAACAGTGTAATCATCAAGCGCCAAAAAACCCAGCAAAATACAGTTCATTCCATGTGAAGTCCAAACTTTCCAAATGAGAGCAAGTTCAAGGATCTGGCTAGTAGCTTTATGTTATGTAAACTAATCTCATTCTCTCCTATTATGAAGCAGAAGGCTATACAAGCTAATGGTTATTTTCAAGTGAACTGAAATTCTAACAGAAAACTGCCAAAACAAATAGAAAGATAAGGAAAAGGAAACAGAAAAATAACAGATTCAACAAAGCTGACCTTAGTCCCCAGAAATTGATCAGCAATAAGTGATGTTACCAGCACCAAGAACAAAAGGAACAAAAAACCAATCAGTGATGCCAGCAACCAGCTTCTTTCTCCTGCTAACTCGTTAACTTGGAATAAGTCAAGAAGCTTGTACTGGGGCTCCCCAGGGCGTTTCAGCAGCAAGACAAAACCAATGAACTCTAAAATTTCAAGACCAAGTAATGCCAACACCTGTACTGATGATAAAGTAAATATAAACACAAGTCAGCATGCACTTTTATCATTCCTAACGTTCATTCCAAACTACATAAAGTAACTAAGGAAATCCTTTGCTTTCTCAGCGTGGTTTTTACTTTGAATAAAGAGGTGCAACAGGGAATTAAGTTCGTAACCATTTTGATTACTGAATTGATTTTCCTGGTCAGTAAATATCAATGATAAACATAAACCAAATGCACTGAAACAGTACCCATTGCTTATATCTAATGGGGGTCAAGCTCTCCAATTATTGAGAAGAATGATCTAAGAGTTCTCACAGATAAATAATAGATATCAGTTGCTAATGACCTCCACCTTTGGTGTATTTTGTTAAAAACAATGAACATGAAAGATCTTTGATAGTCATTTTTATACCTCTGAGTTTGTGATCCATAATAAGATTAGAGGCTACATCTTGATGCCATTCTTGAAACCCATAATGCTGATAAAGAATGCAGTCTGAAGCATAATCAACATGAACACAGAGACTAAAAACTAACTGAAATATGGCACGTAACATAAAGGATAACTTGAAAGATTTTTTAATAACTATCAATACTATCTTGCCCATTTAGTTGAAGCCTATACAGATTGGAAGCAATGATATCCAGAGGAACAGAAAGCCCATTCACTGCTTGAATGGAGAAGAAACCAAATGTTTGTCCTTAGGCAGTTCATTTATAGAAAGGACTGACCAAAGAGTTTTAACTCCACAATAACAAAACAGAAATCATTTGTAACCAATGAGGCACTTGGACAGAAAACAAGTACCAAAACCTTTTGAAGGATACATGATTCTTATAACATTACGCTAGTGACCAGTGTAATGTGATGGACCTGTATTTAAGGTCCTAGATAAAACATAAAATATTCATATAAAATGCAATGTCCTCTATCAAAACATGTAATTCATAGAGAAATTGAACTACGGTGCACAACATGCAGGATCATGTAGGATGCATAATCCCTTATAAGTGGCAAGACCCAGCGTTCCAGGTTTAACAGATTATTAATGTTTTGCGGGAGAAATAAACCATGGCCCAATTGCCATCAAGAGAGGTCTTGGATTAGACAGGGTAATGTAATGCTGTCAGGTATGACAGAAGAACTACAGACATAGTCTTCACAACAAAAGGAATAGATAAGACGTAAAAATAAAATAAAATAAAAAATCACAAAGAAAGAACAACAAGCAAAGATTATGACTGGAAACTACTTGAGTTTTCAATGTCAATCAATTTGGGATGAAGGGTAAAAAGAAATAAAATTTAAGGTGAATAATTGTACTTCTATTTTTATTCTTTTTACCGTTCCATGCCATTTTTTGTGCTGAGAACACTTGGAAGAAATTTAGATGACAAATGACAAAGATATTTCTCCCCATAACCCTCTTCCTGCCAAAAGATAAAAATTTTGGTGCCACTGTAGTATGCCATTTAGGAATATGCAACATAATTCCTGCCATCACCAATTTCAGCAGTCATTGATTGAGAAGTGTAGACCATTACATACCTCAGTCTGTGGCTCAATAACTTGTTGATGCAATATGGTGGCAACTATAGCCAGCCCGCCAAAACTTAATGGAATATGCAAACTGAAGACATAGAATGCCATAGTGCTATATATTATCCCTCTATCACATTCAACGTCCTTCTTAAGCACCGAGAAACCCTACACCAGAAATCTTAGATCAATGTGAAGAGACCACTTTATAGTTCAAAAGGAAAATTTAACAGCATCTTTCATCCATGCTTGGCAACAAACTCATGATTCTTATCTCAGTCCCTACTTTTCTATATATTCATCTTGGATATAGATACATGCAATCCAATAATCAAACTCGAAGCTAATTAGATCCAAGGATCAATCTCTTTAATCTATGATACTAAAATAATTCTCAATCATTTTGTCCTTTCATTTTTTTCCTATTACTTCTTAACATTCTGTAGTAAGGAAGAATCTCCATTAGTTTGTTGTACCAGAGAACTCATTTAATTAAGAACTGCCTTATTCACTTTACAATAAGACCCATTCCTCACATGGTTCCTTCAAAAGGCTAAGTCATGACAAAAAGATAACAGTCAAAACAAACATCTTCAGATGGTATAAATTAAATCTAGATTTTCTATTTCCTTTTTGATTAAGCTAATCCATAATTAATAATGTAAGACATATCATTTATGCTTTCGCTATTGTTACAAGAATTTACCATCACCCTAACCACAACTGTTATATTGCACTATGAGGAAAAAGTATAAAACATATCCATAGTTCTATCATCTTGGTCGTATAGAAAAATAAAGCTACAATAAAGTATACTATATGCCACGAGAACATCAAGTCATCACGGTACTTTAAAATTTACATATGGATAACACAAACTTGTAAATGCGTACAATCACAGCAATAATCTCCAGACTTAGGCCTTGTTTGATATCCAATTCAGCACTTAAACTTAATGGATTCAGATCTTAACATGTTCAGACACGTTTGATAACAAAAAATTAAACATTTGAATTAATTAAGTAGCACTGAATTACCTAGGCAAAACTTGCTCCCACAAATCAGTGATAAGCTATTCACTTATCACTGAATATGATATACACTCAAATGTATTAGATTTAATACTTAACAATTTAATAACTTAATGGATTCAGATTTCAGATTTCAAATTTATCAAACACACCCTTAGCATTCCCTTTTGAATTATCCAGTCCCTTACCACCATATTCATCATTCTATCATTCTTTCTATGGATTCTTTCTGGCAATTGTCATAGACATATGCTCCACTATGCACACTTACCTTTTTCTTTTAAACATCAAGTGCTAAATTTATTCATCCTTGAAGGAGAAAAAGTTGACAGCCTCCAAGTAAGCATAAGGCATCAAAGCAAAACCATCACAGAATCTTGATGATACAGCTTCATGTACACTTGATTCCATTGAAGAAACAAACCATGCTTTAAGAACTATCACCATTTTGGAGAATCAATAAATTAGACTAGTATATAGTCATGTGCAGGACCTCTTGCCTTTGACACTCTGGAGCATGTTTGTTTTATTGCACGAGATAAGTGCTTTTGGGTCTTGTACAACTCACAAGGTTGACATTATATCAATTCGGCAGGAAGCAGCATAAAAGACTAATTCCAAGTCATCTTTAAGGATTCTGCAGATATGCATTTAAGTGACTCAATCTTTCAACAAATTTAATGATATGTCTATTTAAAAGATGAAAAAATATGACTCCAGGGACCTAATGAATTACAAGGTTAAGAAATCCTGCATTTTCCACATAGTTCACAGAAATTAAATCAAGAAACATGTAGTACATGTTCTGCCCTATTCTCTTAATTGTTACGGAAAATATCACTGCTACAAATTTTCACAAGATGGCCGTACAGATTTATCAACAACTATGTTCCAAATGCAAGTAAAACCAGCAAATTTCATAAAATTCAGCAAACAGAAAGCCGAAATGCAAGAACTTTTTCTAGTCCAACATAATTTTTCTTGACAAATTTCATGTTTCAGTACTTCTCAGAAAAGATATTCAACAGAAACATCATTTGAATGAGCCTGCGAAATTGATGTACAACTGATGGAAAGAGTTCTGGACTAGCTATTTGCCAAATGAATATTTTCTCGGAAAATGCAAGTATTCCTCTTCTTTTCCATAAAGAACACAAAATCCATTTACTAATCTACCCTTTCTTCCACTACCCTTTCTTCCACAACAAACAGGACTACATGCAAGTAATGTAATCCAAAATCCCAACTTTCTTCTCCAAAATGCTAATTATTTCATTCAAGTAAAGCATGGACAAGAACAAGAAATAAAACAGAACCAGAAACGGCAAATCATTACTATTATATTTTACAATTATTTGACATGCAAATTTGATAACCCTTTTCAATTTCATAATTTTAAAGCACATAAGAGTGAAAATACCATCTGAGATTCCTGGGATTTCTCATCTTTGTTGGAGCAGCACCTGAAAATTAAAGGGTTGCTGTTGCTCAAGGAAAACTTCGAATTGGAAAATTCCTGCCGCAAACCTTTACTAAATTTCATGGGCATGAAACATATTAGAGGACCATGTGCTACAACTGTACTCATTGTTTTCCTTTCAGCTTCTCATCTTTCTCTCCCTGGATGCCTGAGGGTTTCTACGATTTCTGTTCTCCCAATCGAGTTTCCGATTGAAATTTTTAAAAATTTGGGTAAATCAAGTATCCCAAAGTAGGTTATTTCTACTTTGGGACCTTACTGATTTTAATAATTATCAATTTACACCTCAACCTTTTCAACATAAGTAGATAACGTGCCAACACCATTCAGCCAAAAGTTTCGTCGTCCTCTCACGTGCCGCGCATGTGGTTGAGAGCGTTATGTTGTTCGCGCATGGCGCTTCAGTTTCCGATCTGGTCTCCCATGTGCCTGTATTTCCTTGTTTCTGTACTTCTGCTGCATTTGCTTTCTTTCCACTACCTTCTCTGTCTTCCTTTTTTTAGGCAATGTTGCTCTGTCGCTTACCCAGACATATCCTCCACTTCCATCTTATCTATTCACTTTAGGGTTAGATATACAGAACAACAAATGCCTCTCCGCCCCTTTCCTCACCAAAATTATATGACCAAAATCTTCAGCAGCGGTGAGCCTCCTTACTCTTAACTTCTTTTTTTTTTGTCAATTTGTAACTTCCTTATTTTTTGTCAAATTGCAGCTTCCTTATTTTTGTCAGTTTGCAACTTCGTTAGGCGATGGCGATTGGAGAAACTGGTATTGAAATTCTCCAGAGTGTGTTGTGGGCATCATTTCTAGCTCAAAGTTTGAGATTTTTGGTAGACCTTTGCATAGCTTTTGGGTTAGAAAATCTTTTATTTTATCCCATTTACTTCTCTTGGTCGATTTCACCGATCTTCAGGTGGCTTATGGGTTTTTTTTTTAAGGATTCGTTGTTTCCGTCGGGTATGCGCTGATGTTTTGAGCCTTTGATTTTTGTTTCCCTGATCTGTTTTTTTTCTTGTTCCTTTTTTTTTTCTTGTTTTTTTATTTCGTTTCTTCTTTTCAGCTGTGAAGATGGAGATACTGATTTTATTGCCTTTCGCTTTTAAGTTTTATTACTGAATCTGGGTTTTTGGTTGTTCCTTTTTTTTTCCCTTTAGAGTCTTCGATTTTTGGCTCACTAATAAACATGCCGCAGCTTTCTTCTTCTTATTATTCTTCTTCTTCCCCGTACTGCGCTATTCTTTACAGACGCTTGTAGATCGATAGCTGATTGTGCTTTGTGTGTGAAATGTGCAAGTTAAGGAGGGAAAAGGTAAGAAGAATCAGCAGTGATGGTGGTGCCTTTGCTTTCGAAGAAGACAATGAAGAAAAGGGTCAAGAATTTCAAGCAACCCCAGAGTGACTGAAAAATCTCCATCAAGGTATATCACCGTGATTCACTTGAAAAAAATTGTCCTTTTTAGTTTTTTTAATATTTTAGGAAATGCACTATATAAGGCATTTGCAGATTGATCTTTATTTTTGTGTTCTGTTTGCGAAATGGGAAAATAATTGTGGAAGCTTTAAGAAAATGATCAGAAATGTAAAGGAACTAACTTGGAATCTTTGACTAGGTTTAGATTTTGTTACATTAAGGATGATGCATGTAATGTTAAAATACTCCTAGAGGGAGGCACAAGGCCAAAACATGGCAATAAACTTGGTGCTTTATAACATTGTGCTTTATAATTTTATAAACTTGGTACAGGATGAGCTATGAGTGTAGTTATTAGCATTATTAAAGGTAATGGATTCGGAGTTTGAAGTAGTTGAGGAGAGATTGAAGACTTTTTTGGGTCAGCTGCAGACAGAATTTGGAATCCTCGATAGAATTGTCTACAAAAATAAGAATCAGCATCGAAGGTGCTCTTATTTTCAATACCTGCTTAAGGTTGGTTTTTTTTTTTTTTTGCCTAAAGTTTCAGTTTTTACTTGCTCAGTGAAAAGCACTAACCTGTATGCCTTCAAGCATTTGCTTATTGGTTTTGTTGGTTTAAAATTAATTGTGATTTTGTGACAGGTTAGAAGGGATTTGAGGCTTCTGCAATCAGCAAAGTTGGAGGAAATCTTGAATTCCTGCTTTATGGTAATCCATGGCAAAAGGCCTAAACAAAAATTGCAACTTTTGGAAAGGTATAAACATAAAGAATGGCATATTTTCCATCATTATTGTTTACCATATGCGTTGATTAGTGATTCATGCATTTTTTTTCTGGAGGAAATAGCAAGATTTCATTGAGTTTCATCAGTAGATCGCAAAGCCATAAATTCTTAACGTTTTCTTAGTAATTTGATGTGGAGGCTTCGAAAAGTTAAATTCGGAGTTGAAAGTTAATATCCAAGAAAAATTGATTAAATGACCAGTCTGTGAATGTAATGTACAATTAGTAATGATTAGACTCTTGCTTTCTGTCAAATTGCACATACCAAAACTTTTGGCCTTTCATTTGGGTTTCAGTCTGAAGCGGAGAAGGTGTGATGGTGGCAAATATAACTTTTTGGAAAGGCTTCTTGGAGCTGTACGTTTACTATCAAAGGTAGTACATTTGTTTGTGATTTGTTGCTCACAGTTGTTTCTTTAAATTGTTATTCTATCTTCAGTTTTCTACGCGCCTCAGTTGAGCGTATGTTGCGAGGCATGTCATAAACTATGATCTTACATTTGTGCTTTTAAAAAATTTCCCATTCTTTTGATGTCCAAATTAGTCCAAGTCATTGTCCATCAAAATCTTTGGACCTTAGAGGATTAAACTTGTGTTGATTTCAGTCTCTTCCATTGTTCTTGTGTTATCTTCATGTAGCAGCAAATAATTAACAAATCACTGCTGCCTTCTTTCTTTACCATCCTCTTTCATCTACTTCTCTGGTATCGTTGTCCACGAGACAAATATAATTAGTTGGAATCTTCGTTCTTTCCCAAGGAAGTGTATCTGCTCTTCCACTTTACACCACAGCCAGTGGGAGAGCTAGAGTAAAGATGTGGTTATTTTCAATTTCTTATGGGGCTTTTAAGTGATTAGTTTCCTTTTGGTCTATTTACATCCAACAAGTACCAAATGTAAGCGGTTGGGAAGATTCTCCCGGATCCACTTCTCGATGTAAGCGGTTGGGAAAACTCCGTCAACCTTGGTAAATTACCAACCTTTTAAATTTTTTTTTTCCAGTTGGAGATTGACAGATTCTTTCTTTTCCGTTCTTCCTATCATCCTCTCCTCCTATATAGAATTTCTCATCTATTTTCTCCATCATTTCCTTCTGCTAGAGACACGTCTTTTGCAGTGAAAAAGCAGTCTTTTTTACACATATTAATGATGTTTATTTTTGAGTAAATTTAAGTCATGACCTACGTTTTCTGCATTTTTTGTACTTTTGGTTTCTTGAGGATCTCAGGTTTTCTTACTTCAATTTCTATGGGTTCTGTGAATAATATATTGGTGTTCTGCTTTAATATTGTGGGTGGGGAGGGAGGGTCTCAGCTTTTGTTATTTATGTGATTTTATTGTAAAATTTTGTTTCTGCCAAGTTTAGGATTGATCTCAAGTTGGCTATGGAGGTTTTCTTCCTTTCTTTCATGGAGTCTAATGTAAATTCGGAATGTCAAAATTTTCCTTTTAACTGGTCTAATTTTCTAATTACTATGGGATTTGACACATAAAATCAAGGCGGTGTTAGATTTGTTCATCTGTGTTTTTCTTTGGTATTAATGTGAGAAATTCGTTTCTGAAAGTGTAAATTTTAATTTCTTGAGTTAATTTATTTTGTGGAGTTTGAGGAGGAAAAAATGTTTTTGAAAAGGCATGCTTATCTTAGTTGAATTTGTTGACTCCCTATTGTGCTGAATTGTGATTGTTTTGATTCGAATTGTAGATGATGGTGGCCAATTGTCATGCTTCTTTAATTACTAAACATGGCTTTGTTCTTATATGGAGCAGCAACTGTAGGCTGATATTGGTGAGACTGAAGCTGATAAGGTTGATGAGGTTGCCCTCATTGGCAATGAAAAGCATGAATCTAAATGTATAACTAGTTACTTTTAGAATATGTTTCTGTTTTATCTAGTGTTTCTTTCTGGTGTCCAAGACGGCATCATCTCTGCCTTAGAAGTTGCCGAATTAGTATTTTCTCTAAAATGTATTTTTCCCATGCTTTCCTTCAAAACAGAGGTGACCAAAGGAAAAACATAACATCTTTCCATTACATGTTTGTCATATACTTTGGTTTCTCTTTTTTTCCTTTCTTTTTGGATTTACCCTTGTCCTTTGCTTCTCGTGTTTTATCCTTGTGTTTTGATCATATGTGACTTCTTTGCACATTTTTCTACAAGTTTTTTTGCTGCAATGGCGCTTGAATTGACTTGGTTGGTGAAAGTTTTTGTGTTACATGTATTTTATGTCCCTATGATTTTGTTCTATCCATATATGATATTTCTTTATGTCTGTTTTCTTGACTTGATTGCTAGTTTTGTTTTTCAGTAATATTCATCTTCATTCCAATGGGAGCTCACTGCTCTAAATTAGGCTTTTGCTGGTAGCCTTCTAACCTCAGATCCAACGTCCCTTATTCCTCTGATCTTGGTAATTCTTAAAACTCTGTTAAATGTATAAAAATGCAATATTTATTCCTTTTTTCTGATTTTTTTCTTCTGGGGTTTTAGAGAAATGTGGAGAAAATCAGAGGATGAAACTGCCAGCATTTAAAGAATGCAGTTTAGATGAGCTGAAGGTGGCACCTTCAAGATTCTCAGTTGAAAACATTGTATCAGAACATGGAGATAAAGCTCGCAATGTTGTCTACAAAGGGTAGCTTGAAGATGACGCCTCTTGGATTGCTGTCAAACATTTCAATAAGTTTGCTTGGCCAGATTCTCGACAATTCCTGGTTGTTATTACTTATTTTAAGCAAGTCCCCAGCTATAGTCTTCACAAATGTGATATTATCTTATTTATGTACGCCATAGTACTTAGTTAACCATGAGTATGGTGGATGTTATTCAGATTTAAGATTTGTTGTATGCAATTTGTAGGTTGATAAGTGAGGAAACTTGTGAGAACCCAGAAAAAAAAAAATTTTTTATTATTTTATTCCTGTGCACCCGTTTTCTTTTATTTTCTTTATTCTATTACTTTTCTCAACATTTTAACAGTAAATATAGCTTTTAAATCCATTTTCTAGTATAAGGTAGTTCGTGAGAAATTTGGAACGTCTTTTGGTCGTGGGACCCGCTAGTGCATTAAGTGAGAGAAATTTGACCAATTAGGTTAAATTTTGCGTAAAGGGTTTTTGCTACTAGGTATTAGGAGATAATTGGAGGTTGCCTAGATGGTTTAGCCATGAGGGACAAGAAGATAGCTCTAGCAAAATAATGCGCCAAGTGTCAAATTGTTGTTGGACTAAACTTGTCTAACTTTGCCTAACTTTCTTTAACTTTAATAAAAGACCAAAAATTGACTAAATCATCTTCATTTCAGCCTTGTCTTGGCCGAACCTCTCTAGCAAGCAAAGGAAAAAATTCTTCAACCTTCCATCTTCTAATCTTGCTCAAATCTTGAAAACTAGCCGTTTGTTTCTTGAATTAGTCCATAAAAACATCTTGCTAAGGGTCTTTGAAGAGTTTAGTGGTGTTGTTTTGGAAGAAAACCTCACAAGCTACAACCTTTCTTGAAGAACTAAGGTATCTTGCTTGGAACTCATCTTTTGTTATAAATTTTGGCCAATTGGTGCCTTATAGTAGCTATTTACGCGATTTTACGGAAGATTTGGTGGATTGGAGTGAAGTTTCCTAATTTTCTGATTTTTCTGGAATTTTCTGTTTTCCTATGATGGATATGATTGAGCTTGAATTAGTGGTTCTCAATGGTATTAAATAGCTCTCTTGTGCGTTAATTGTGGTTAATTGCGAAAAATTTCCGCTTGTGCGGAAAATTTCAGATTTAGGTTTTCAAATTGGGGGTTTTCTATTGTTGATTGTTGAACTTCTAATTGGCTATAATTGAAGGGTATTGTGACCCTAATGACGCATATCGAATGACTTATATATTGTTTGGGTGCTTGTGGTTGTGTTGGATGGCTTTTATTGGTTGTCTTGTAGGTTGGAAAAGCTGAAATTTTAAGGAAAATGCTGTCCAAGTGTCGAGGGTATTGGATTCTTATGTGTTGGGTTGAGATTTCATAGAAATGAATAATCTTAGGGTTTATTTCTACTTTTAACCCTAAATGTTAAGTATTTTTCATTTCCAAGCTATATTTGGGTCTTGCCTTAATAGTTCCTAGAAAAAGGTATTCGACTTGTGTTTGCGTTTTCATTGTACTTTCTTGATTGTTATAGGGCGTGCCGGTGATCCGAGGCTCACGTCGGGCGAAAACTTGTGAAATTTCTTTGTTGAACTTGGTGAGTGTACTACTCACATATTTGTTATTCCGTGGCTTTCTTGTACTTGAATTCTGTGATTTGGGCTAGTTGTGATGATTGTTTGAGCTAGGTGAGGCGAGGCTGTACTTTACCACTCTCGTACTCTCTGGCCTCCTTGACTGGTTATTATACTAAGCTTACTTGACTGTTTATGATATTACTTGAATATTCTTGACTATACTGGATTTGGTATCGCTTGGATACCAATCTTTACTGTTCACTCTGAGCTCTACCTCATTGGAAGTCAATGGACTCGAGCCAGTAAGGACTTGGTCGGGGACATTTGACAAGCCATGGGGACTGTATTTGGGAATCTTTGTGTATGAGACCCTTGATTCCGGTATACTCGAGTAATACCAATTCTGTACTGTTTGGTGTTCGGGCCCGGTAAGGGGAAAGTGAGGTGGACGGATAATTGGAGTAAAGAGGAGTCTACGGTCATGATTACCTGGTATACATTGACGGAGAGTCAATGAGATGAGATCAAGCATTGCAAAAGAGGAAAAGGGCTCTTGAGAGCTATCCGTATCCTTTTATTCCCTACACTTGGGGGTTGTTGATTTTACTTACTTGTCGTGCATATTTGGACTGAATATTCTTGTGTTTATGTGATCCTGGTATATTTTGGTGATGGTACCTCATTGTGCGAAAGCTCACTCCGTGAATTTTGTTTTCCTTACAGGGATTTACCTTTTGGACTTTTGAGTTTGAAGATGAGTTGAGTAGAGCTAGTTGAGAGATTTTGGATAGCTCCTCAATAGTTGGCAACTTGATTGTACTTGAATTTACATGTTTCCTTTTGGCTTGTAATCATACCAATGTGGTTGGTAACAGTGTGTGTGTATTCATGTTCCATGTATTATACTTGGCTTGTATATATATTCCTTTCAGGGATTGTAAGCAGTTATTTGCATTTGATTGGGTCCTGGCTGATTGTGACGTGGCAGTCACTATTCACTTTACGTTTTAACTGTTGTTTTTCGTTTCTTGATTGATGGTTGGGTTAAGCGCGTTAGTAGTATCCCGAACGACTTGTATTAATGTTTTACCGTTTTAGTAGTCCTGGCGAGAGCTGGGCAGGCAGTCCGCTAACCCCTTTGGTACGCCTTAGGGGAAGGTGGGGCTGTCACAAAACTTATTGCAGGCTGATGTGATTTGAGACATTGATTGTACGGTTGTTATGCCATATGAATTGAAACATTGATTATACGGTTGTTGTACCTTTGTTTCCAGTCAAATGGGATGAAGTATTTTGTTTCTACCAATAACATAAAGTCGCTTTCATTTTTTTTCTTACTCACTTTGGGTTTTACTATTTTGCATTTTCCTGCGTACAGCCTTATTAACTCTCCTCCTTCACTTTTCTTTTTTTTTTTCTAATCTTGAAAATGACCTGAGAGCATGGAAAGTAAAATCTAAGCTCTAATGATGCTTATAAGTAGCTACATCATTAGGAAATTATTGGACCTTGTAATTAAATCATAATGCAATATAACCTTGAAATAGCAAGTGCAGATGACAACTTAGACGAAGTCTTATAATATTTTGGTTCTTTAATGAGAGTAACACTTACTATTTTTGACATGGTTACATACTTAGCTAAAAGTTTACTTTAATTTTGCTTTAATATTTTATTTTGGTTTATTTGTAACTAAATTCCATCAAACAACAAACAAATTTCATTAATGATCCATTTTGAATTAGTACAAATTATTTTATTAAATTGGGCATCCCCATCCTTTTTCCCACCATCCGTGGCACGGTTTATGCCTCCTAGTTCTCTTAACAATCATGACAGAAGCCAGTCAAGCCACCATTCAACCTGGCATAGTAGGCCTAAACAGCACAAAATCCATTTGCTCATCTAGGCCTGTCAACGGGCCGGGTCCGGATCTGGGTCAGAACTAATAAATTCGGACCTGGACCCGTTATACTATATTAGTTCCGAATTTGACCCAAATACCCGACGAGTCTTCTAGTCTTTCACCCGGAATTGCACCCGATGGGTCCCGAATCCAGGTCGGGCCTACCAGGAAAAAAAGGCCCGTCAAAACCTTTTTTGCTACAACAGGCCGAGGCTGATTAAATGCTACTCTACCAGTGCACTCACCTCACCTTATCATTCCCCATACTTCTTAACTTCATCCACACATTTCTCAATTCTACCGCTTTCAGGTAAAATTACACACAAACGCTCTCCTTTACCTTTTGCAAAACATTTGCTAAGCTTTGAAGGGACCCACAGGACATGTTAGTCTGTCATCCAGCAATCAAGAAATGGTTTTTCTGGGCTTGGAAATTTGACCTTCAAATGCAAGGAACAAATTTTCTCCTGGCTTTCAACACAATTGAGCTGTTTCGGATCCAGGCTCTTATTTACAGTGATGAAGAGAACTGCTGTTTCTCTGCTCACTTGCATCTTTGCTTTAGGCAAGTTTCTTTGACTCCCCAAGATTTCGATTCTTCCCTTCTTGAATTAATCAATTAATTTTTCATCAAACTTTTGCTTTCCGGGCAAAGGTTTGATCTTTTGAATCTAACATGGAGCCCTACTTTCCTTTGAATA